TAACCTTGGAATTAATGAAGTGATTTGCATAGTTTATCATACTTATATAGTTTTATTATACTGCATGCACGGTGTATAAAATTGCTGTGCTAATAGGCTTCTTCAATTTTCTTCTTTGCCTTCATGTAACTCTAATTGATTCATAGGTTATGTGTACAGAGACTGCGCTTTTAAAAATAATTTCTGATGGTTGATTCTGGGGTTTTTTTTTGGACGGATGTCTATACGTTGTGCAGACTGCCAGAAGTTCTACCGTAGAAGCGTTGGGGTAGAATCCCGCTGGACCTCTTTCCATGATTTGCGCTCGTGTTACCATTCCCACTGCATTTTCTAGCTAAGCTAAAGTATCGTCTTGCTGCAAAGTTAAAATTTTCCTCCATTGCATGGTAACCTAAAATAGATGGCAAAGTGCGCGTCGTGCACAAGATTGCAGCTCAAGTGTTTAAATGCGCATTAATATTATCTGGCGCAAATAATTAGATCTGAGAGTGCGCCAAGGTTAATGCATGATGTTATTGTTCATTGTTCACCACATTCGCACGCCATTTCTACACACGCGACTAGCTGTTTCAATATTCAATAATTAACAACAAAAAATGCTTTCAAGTCCATAGAAATATGCTTAGCTATCCACTTATTTATTTAACTTTGCCAAGTAACATATAATATGCATGCGTTCCATTGGCAGGGTGCACGCTACCGTTTTCACCAATTACAGCGCTAGTGGTCCCATGAACTATCACCGAATACTATACAACGATCACAAATCTATATTGTTAACAACACGATATTTAATAATAAGAGTGCGCTAAGGTTATATAATGCATGTTATATATCCCATTGCATGGGTAAACGCATTCGCTAGGTCTTTTACCCACGGGCGTACGGGAAGGAAAAAATTAGGGGGGCGGAAAGAAATTTGCCCGACTTTTTCGGATTGTGCCTGCGTTGTCAAAAATATTTTCCGGAGAAACTTTCCAAAATTGTTGTCGACGGGGGGGGAGGGTGATTACGAAAAATTCCTATTAGATAGCATATTTCCCACAAAATTGACAGAATTTGTCCCATTTATTTTCATATAATAAGCCAATATTGCCCGACTGTGAAGCGAATATTGCCCGACTGGCTTTGTTTGCCCAACAAACTGGGGGGGGCTGACGCCCCCCCCCCCCGCCCGGTACGCCCATGCTTTTACCACACACGCCTAGCTGTTTCAATCATCAATATATAATTATTATGAAAAACAAATATTTCTTCCACATCCAATGACTAATATAAATGGAACTATAGAGGGCACGCGCGAAGACTCGGAACGAAAATTTGATCAATTCACCTTTGCGCAATGTCCATTAGGCCACATAAAAAAAAATAGTTGGTTAGCGTCTTCGCCCGCCCACAAAAAAGGCCCCGCTCAGGATTTTTTTTTATTTTTTATTTTGAAAAACCCGACTTTTATTGATCAAAGGGCTCTAATATATATAGTATTTATGTTGACTGTTGTCAATTGTGTTAATAATTTGCGAAATTGCGTGCGAAAATGACGGTATGGATTATATTTTGAAATATATAAAAAAATATCTGTACTGCGCAAGAAAATCCAGTTTCAGACTTAACAGTGAGTAAAACCAAGGCGTTAAAAATTAGTAAAAATTAAAAAAAAAGCGCCCGCCCGCCCACTTTTTGGCAAAAGCTAAGGACGCTAACCAACTATTTTTTTTTATATGGCCTTATAGTGCCACAAATTTTTGTGTTGATGCGTTTCCGAAGTTATATTGCTAACATACACACATGAGCACTCACATACAAACGCTGATGAAAACATAACCTCCATAACTATATATAGATTTGCTGCTGAGCAGAATTTTAGTCAGACAAACTATAGGAAAGCTTTTAAATTTATAGCTCCTCAAAACATTCTCAATCAATTGATTATGCAATTAAGACCCCGTTCGCACGTTACCGGCAGAGTTTGAAAACGAAACGAAATTCTTACGTTTAGGGGTTGCTTTCGCACGATGCCAGTATGAAAAAATGTGAAACCGTAACGCTAACCGTAAGACTTTGAAATAAATCGTTCTTCTTGCGTGCGGCGTTGTCCCTATGTAACTATAGTAATATATGAACAGAAACTGAATGCTTGAATGCTTGCAGAAACTGAATGTGCTTTTGAAAAAGCTTTAATTCTTATGCATGGGCGGTCCGTTATACCACAGATGATAGATAATACCAGATGATTCACTCAGCCAAAATTGTGTCCGCGATTTTTATGAGCACGCGTTGGCCGCCATTTTGGCAGTAAGTGTAATCCACGCCATGAAACGTGAGCAATCACGCATTTTGGCAGTAAGCGCCATTTTGGCAGTAAGTGTCGCACGCGTCATCTGGCGTGATAGACTCGCGAAAATCGCGGACACGAAAATCATAGGAATAGATACACAGTGAGTCATCTGGTATTATCTATCATCTGTGGTTATACGACCTGTACGTGTTTTTTTGTATATGAATGAGCCATAATGAATCATGTAATACATGGTATACAATATTTATAATTTTGATATTCTGATATAAAATTTTAAAATTGCTCTGCTAATAAAATTCTTCAGTCTTTACAGAAACTGTGATTTTGAAAATAATTTCGAATGGCTGATCTGCTTCCACTTTTAAATTTTACTACACAAAAAGTCAAAATTGCGCTAATAACTGAACAAATTTCTTCATTTACAGTACCACTGCATAAACTGGTTATCGCACCTCAAAAATGCTTCTGTTTAAACACTCGAAGATTTTAAAGAAATCCAAGCCTGCATGAAACGTTGTATTCGTTAGATGGAGATGTATATATTATGCCGAGTTACCATTGATAGAAGTTCCATTGTAGAACCTCAGTCAAAATAAAATCCTCCCATGCAGACTTCGTACACATGATCTCCGCTCGCGTTGCCACGATCCGGGAGTAGCAAAGGTAAAGAGCCTTGCTGCTCGGTTAAAATTTTCCTCTATAGCACATGTGACCTCGGGATCTAAGACTTTGTTTGATGCCATAGAATATATTGTGATGACGCCGTCCCGGACGATTCTCAAGAGTTTAACAATTTAATTGCACGCAGGCGTTGTTAGCTGGTGCAAAGCGCCGAAACGCACGTAGGACATTGCATGGTCGGATTTTTCCTCAAAAATGAGACTATATAAGGAGGCCCACTACGGCAATCTTGTTCAGTTTATTTCATCTTGCAGTTGGATTGAGATAAAGAGGACTAAATTAGGTATGTTATTTCATTTTAATATTTTATCACAGCAATCTTTATAGTATCAGTTTAATGGTATGTAACATTTTCTCTGGGATCATTTTAGGTTTGGTTTCAAGATTTTTTCATTTCGTTTGCTGTTCAAGACAGGTATATGATAACATAATGTCTATTTATCGTATTACAATATACTTTGATACAAACTCGGAAAAGTTTTCTTTAAAACGTCTCCAATTTTCAGATTCTGCTGTTGGACTGAGATAAAAATCAATTATGAAAGCAGGTCAGTGGATATTTTTCCGTATTCTTAAAACTTATTCGTGCATGGTTTACAATGCGCCCTAGATTTCGTTCTTTAGTGCTTAATTTAGTGAAAACTTTAGTGCTTGTTGTTTAGTACATTGAAATATCCTGTTTTGCAATCACTCGTCATCGAAAGCTGAATCAGATGTACTTTTTATAAAATTGCATAGTTTTAACCCCTATGGTTTTAGCCCATAATTTTAGTTCCTATTATGGTTGTTATAGAGGGTCATTCAGTCAGTGCTCATATGCTATTTATAAAGCGGAGTTCTCGTTTCGAATTTTAATTTTGAAAGGAATGTGGCTGTACTGAAATTTCTATATTTATGACATATGTTCGTTTGTAAGCTATATTCATTCAGCTTTCCAATAGTGGATCACAAGTGAAATTTGTGCAACTGGCTGGCGAGTTATGTATACATCTCAAAATAACCGCTTGCGCTAAAATATCATTTGTGATTTTATTCTTTCTTTCAAATAGTTAGGAGAGATGTCGTTAGGAAGAAAAATGAACAGGCTTTAAAATAAGATAAAAAGCACTTTATGCATGATGATAAACTTTATTTAACCACGCTAACATTGGCAGCTAAAGCTGGTTTCCACAATGGACGTGCGAACAAACTGGGTACAAAAGTAAATTTACAAAAGTAAATTTACAAAAAAGTTAAAGGTAGTAAGAAATATATACATGCATATGTGAAAAAATATATACTATATAATATACGTTAAATTACTATTTACAACCATGCTTTAATATCTTTATCTGATCAGTTATCTGATCCAGTTATCTTTGAATAATCTTGAAGTTGGACTCTGTTTTTTTGGGGGACACCCTGTGTATCTCAAACTCATTGATACTTCATGCATGAGCAATTAATTAGCCAATCATATTGCTCTATTTTGCCCACATGATAATACTGGATACCTAGTGAAGTATATTCATCCAGAACTAGGACTGGATCCAAATTAGTTTAGTCAAAGGATCAAAATTAATACAGTTCTTGGACCGGATCAAAATTAATTTATTCGCATGAGATGTCAAATCCTCCAATTCGGACTGGACTAGATAGATTTCAAGTCATCGCATTTTGATCCAGTCCTCGACTTCGCCTCGGACGTGATCAAATTCCGAGGACTTGAAATCTAGTCCAGTCCTCATAGTCGGATTTAAAATATTACTTCAAATTTAAATCTCAATAGTTATTTATCATAAACGTACCTGTATAAAATATCGGTCTGCAAGGTTGGTTTAAGACATCGTTAACTTAGTGTCAAGAAATTAAAGATGGGCTCGTCGCAAGTTTTGACATGAAATCCACACTGACCGGGCAGACTGAAAAGCATTATATGCACCTGAGTACATAACACCAAAATACACACAAATATCTTAGAATGCATTGGTATCGAAGATACTAGACTTAGTTCCGAAATACCACACACTCGAACAGACTTGGCCTCATGGCTCAGTTGGCAGAGCATTGGACTAGTATCCCAAAGGTCGCGGGTTCGATTCCCACCGTGGTCAGACTAACTTTAATTCAGCCTGCCTGGTGTGGATTTGCACTCAGAGTAACATCACAAACATATGCACCTGAGTACATAACACCAAAATACGCACAAATAACAATTTTTAAATTCCATACTGCACGAAAAACGGATGCAGGTGGTATAATGATAAACCTAAACCGGATATTTTACACGGCCTTATTACCATTAATTGTTTTGTTTCTCTCGGGAAACAAAACTTACAAACTATAACAGTATAAGCTGTTTATCACCGCGTGTTTATCGCGAGGGCGTACTGAGGAAGCACAGCAGACACGGTTCGTGGGTTACCCCCTATGCTTCTTTACAGGGACGTCGCGAAGCCATCAACATGGGGGGGGGGTCGTCATGTTTTGACCAACATTTCCTAGGATTTTGACCAAGTCGTACAAATTTTTCCCGAAAATGTTGTCGACGGGGGGAGGTCAAAAAAATTTTCCGGACTAACATAAGCATAGTCACTAAAAAATTCTTCCGGACTAACATAAGCACATTCAAAAATTTTTGACCAAGATAAGCAAGGCTTCCAATTTTTTCACCGCAAACATAACAAAAGCTTTAAAATTTTTAAACCATTTCGTAACTTTGAGCAACTTCGACCGTCTTTTATCCCGAATTTTACCTTCAATTTTAAGCAAATATTAGTTCCATTTTGCCCATCTTTGGGCAAATATCAGTTCTATTTTGACCAATTTTGACCAACGTTTGAATTATTGGTGGGGTGTTACCCCCCCCCCCCACACACACACACACACACACACACCACACCCTATAGCGACGTCCCTGCTTCGTTACCAGGGCATTTTCCTTTGCTTTGGGAATGTGGAGAGATACCCTGGCTTGTGCTTTACCACTTAGTAAGCCTTCAAGTCGAGGCTAGCTGTTTACGTTTCCTATCGGATGTAAAAAGGCAAGACAAGCTATTACTAATTTCTCATCCAAATTTAACCAAAATTTAGCATAATATTTAGCAAAGAATAGCGTAACAATCGCAGCGTCACAGATGCTGGGGTTTTTTACACAAGGTATAATATTGTAGTTAGTAACTCAGTTTTTATCTTTAGGATTGTGGCTTTTTATCGCAGCATGCTTAGTGCTGTCAATTTCTGTTGGTTATGGCAGACGTGGTAGCAAACGGAGAGGTATACATTTTTAAAATTTTAAGTATACTAGTTAAAACATGAGCAGCCGATCTTTATCTGATATACAAACTCGAGCCGTCGACCCATCTTATGAGTTCATTGGCGAAGTAATTTTAAAATAAACATTGTCGAAGCCGAGTAAATCAAAGCTGAAGTTTATGTAAATCAGAACAAATCTTTATCAGATTTACAAACATTGATTAAACATTCATTTCTTTTGTATTTTCCTTATGAAATATTAACGAGTTTTTAAATTAAATTTATTAATTAAGAAGCTACCATACATCCTATTGTTATAGTACAGGAGTCGTGAGTAAAATCGTTTCAACGCATTCAGTCATCCTTTGCGGAACGATGTTATTTAATGTCATGATATATATATATAGGCATATAGCACATATGAAAAACATATAAAAAGGCTTTAAGGTGGCTCAATACAGTTTTTAAACCAATTAACCTCGTACCCAAGCGCAGAAGCCCTGGGGACGAGGTTGATATTTAACATACTCTTCCCTAACTAATTATAATATTTACAACAGGTCGTCAAGGTTGGAGCAAAGGGAGAGGTATTAATATTTAAATTTTTTTAAATGTATTGAGGTAATTCCGCAGTAATTGTTCCCGAAATGAGAATGTGCTGAAACTTCCCAGGCATGGAGTTTATGATATACTTAAAGTAAAATCACACAAAAAAGTCGGGGTCACCGAACTCGTTAAGAAGATATGACAATCACAATATACCACATTTACCCCAATATGGCGCCATCTTGACGCTCATTACGAGTAACAGCAAAATCACAACAGCCCGATATTTATTGACGTTTTTAGCGCGGATTTTGCTTTAGGAAACCTATCTTGTAATTATTTTTGAAAACAATATTGTGTTTTGAGCAAAATGGAACTACTAACGTGTACAATTCTGATCCACAAATGTCTTTTGCACATTTCTTTACATATCTTTCTTTGAGAACATGCATTGATAAAGCATTTTTTTCAAGATCCAGAAATGATTTTTCTTTTAATTTCGGATATGAAATGTAAAATGCATTAAAGAAATAAATTATCAGTTAAAAAACGGGGGTCACCGATCTTTTTATGGAATTGTGGCATTAAAACGTGAAATATACAAGTAAATAAATATACTATACAGACACAGAGAACCCTAGCTACACTTTTGTATGCCTTTTTTGAAAACATTGATTTTAACGTAAT